GGGGTTACCGAAATTCAACCGAAAAAACAATTACGGGTAAAATAATTTATTTGTTTTACGGTGGAATTTTGGCAACTCCAGCTGCCGGCGTTTTACCCTAAAATCTACATTTTATTTTTTACAGTGTAGGGCTGATTAAAAAGACTAAATGTCACACACATTCATTGACCAACTGCCTGCTTCAATCGGTGCATGTGACACAGCACCATCAGTGATGAGGCACACATCATCACTACCTAGCCTTGCCCTTCTTACGTGTACTTGAACAGGTAATGTAGACATTTTCCGATTTTGACCACATAAGTTCTAAAATCAGAGAGAAAACAATCAAATTCAATTACATAACAGTCATGTGGACAAATTGATTTTCTCTTATAATTGTTAGTTATTCTTTATGAGACATGTCTGACTGTATGTCATTGTTTTACTGGATTCCTCAAGTTCTCAATAACTGCAGCAGTGCAACACAGTCCTAAAGTATAGGACTGTAACAATGTAATTCATCCGATATCCATTAGAGTTGATTGTTATTTTCCTTTTAAAATCCCTTGTATTTGCAAATAAGTTATTGTATGTTTGCTGTTATTGAAAGTAAAAAAAAGGTTTAAAAAATATATATATACATGAGTTAGCTTCATTTACAGCCATTTCACAGTGACACTAGCATAGTTACATTCAACCACAGCCATATACATATCTCTGAAGTCTCCTGCTTCAGAGATATGTATTTTACCCCTCTTTCTACCGACCTTCCAGCTTTGTGTTTTCCTGTTAGTTTCCCATAGTATGGGCTCTATGCACTACACACTTATGCGTTTGATTATTAGAGTAGAAGAATTTTCAGTTCAGCAAAGACAATAGCGAACCACTGTGATTTCAAAAATAATGGCTAAAAAAATCCGACAAGTTGTGTAAGTTTCTCAGTAGCACTACTTCAATATTGTGTTGACAGTGAAGTTAAGCTGGTAAAATTGTTAGTGGAGGGCAAAAACAATATTCTTTTACTTGCCATCCATTGCCACTCTGCCACCATCGAACAATTCTGCTAACAAAATGAAACCTGAGATGTATGTATTTTTAATCTACTTTTTCTCTGCATCGGCTACACTCTTTGCCATAGCAACTGACTGACAATTCACACCAGTAATTCACTTTATTGCTCATCTTACCTTGTAAAAAAAAACGAATATCTTCAGGGGCAGCAAACCTTTCCAAACCAAACTTGTTACTAATGGACATGTCCTCCATCTACCTCTGGAGTGAAGCAATCTCAGATCGGAGTTCCTCAATTATACTGAGGCCTAGATCCAGAGGCGCCGCCTGGAATCTTGGGCCCTATGACAAAACATGAAATTGAGCCCCTCCTGCATACCTGCTGTTACAATTTCTTGAGTCTATCTGACCCATCAAAAGTGTCACAATTTTAAAGGCTTGCAACTGCCTTTTTTTCTTTGGTCCAATACTGATACTAGCACAATATTCATTGCTAGTGAATTTTACATCCAACAGTCTGCATACAGTATGCAAATAGGTTGCCTAAATTTTTTATTAGTTTTAGTTTATTGAAATGTCTCTCCCCACCAGCAACAGTCATAGGCAACTTGCAAAATATACATAAAGCAATCCAGACTTCTAAAAACTGCTATGTTGTTGCATTTTGATCAAGCTGCAGTATATAACTTCAATTAAAATAAGTTTTTCCATATTTGTTAAAGCTGTCACCATGTTGTGACAGTTTGCTATGAAACAGTTAATCAGTGAAAAGATCAATTTTCTCCACCTCCTCCCTGAGCTACTATTGCTAGCTAAAGTAATGTAACGTTCCAGCCAAAAACAACCAATCAGAACCAGGAGGGTCTTAGTGTTGTTAATCAACCTCATTTACTCACTGCCAAATGTGCTAATGGCGCAGAAACAACTTTCCATACAGGAAGGGGGTGTATACTGGTATGGTGGTTGGAGCTGCTGCTGACTGACGTATCTGTTGTTAAGCGTGATAAAAGGTACAGGCGCAAGTTAAATATATTAATTTGTTGGTAAATTTGTTCCTTTATTCATTAAATTAAATGGAGGCAAACAGTAGTCTATAAATAAGCTAACTATGCTAAATGGTTGATAATCTCACACAGTGTACCCACCTCTCTTGGAGAAGAACTGGTTTACAAATGGGTTACTCAACACGTTGGGTTACTCTTGTCTTTTTCTCTGTCTATCTCTCTATTTTTAAATTTTTTTTGAAAATCCAACTATTATTTTTCTTGGCAGCATAGTAACTACCACAGTCATTCTTGTCTTCTACCAACTGCTGCTTAACACCGTCACCTTCACGCACTAAGCAGGAACAAACCATTTCATGCAGATCCAGGAGGGTGTTCAGGGTTAATATGGATGTGTGCTTTTTGGTCTGGGAGTGGCAACATTTAATTTTACTACTAAAAAATGTTTTAAAAACATGAAAAGATTAATTTTGTTATTAACAGGGCCCTATTTTTTTTTTTTTTATTTGGGGGGGGGGGGGACTGTCGGCCAGGGGCCCTTGGAATTGTCCTAACTTTCCACCCCTATACGGCACCCCTGCCTAGATCCAATCTACCTGGCACTGCAAAGACAAGCATTTGTTGTGGTCAGGACATACAACTTCCACATCCTCCTCCTTTGGAGAATCTGGACGATGTCTTTGTTCCAAACACCAGGGCGAGGGATCAGAAGAGAGAAATTATTCCATTCAAAAAGAATAGGAACAGCTCTGGTTAGAAACCGGCGCTGTCCTTGTGGGTTTGATGGCTCTCTCATTTAATGGCACAAAATGAGCGAGACCTTTGTTTGATTTGTAATCACAAAATTACCTTTTTGAATGTTGACAATCTGTTTTTTCCTCAACTCACCCTCTTTGGGGAATGAAAAGAAACTCAAAATAGAGTTGCATTACATTGGCACTGTACACTTTGAGACGTAACAGTGGTAGATTAATAAGCTATTCTATCTTATTTGGAATGAAATGAAAACTTTGTTTTTTCCATGTCATTCTCTAATCAAACAGCCAATATGCACAAAAAACAAGTCTGGAAACCTACCACTTACATGGTTTCCCCCAGAAAACTTGCTAAGCCCGGTGGTCAGGGTGCTGAGGCAGTCCACTGGCGGTCCACTGGTGGTCCACCGTGGTTTTGTATTAAAAGATGTTAAGGTGACAGGAAATTTAAAAATATCACTCGGTAATTATATGTTACGGGAAAACATCGCCAGTGAAACACTACTTAAACTCACAACTAGTCTTAAAAACAACAAATCAAAATATACAATTAAAATCAATGTCAATTATTTGCACTTCTGTTTAATCCAAATTAAGTCAGCGGTTCCATCGGGCCCCCAGGGCTTCAGGGGCCCCATAAATGCTAATATTTTAACACAGACCACAGATACATGAATGTAACACTTGTTTATTGAGATGATCAATGCTGCTAAATTTGATTCAATTTACAAATCAATTTTCAATTTGATTGAAATTACACAAATTAAAAGATTTTAAATTGTCAACATTTAAATGTAAGATTTTAAGGAGCTGGCAAGTTTACTTTGTAAAACTTCAAAGAAGATTATTTATAGTTAGATTGTTTTGTTACCATAGCAACAATCTGATGCTGTGAGTTTAATCTTTGAATTTACAAATACAAATTAGTAAACTGCGATTATAACTTATTGCTTTTTAAGCAGGCCAATTAAACTACTCCCCTTCTCTCAGATTAAATCCAACACATCTGTTAGAAGTGTTGTGTGAACCAAACCAAACTCTTTAGCAACAAAAGAGGGACCCTAAATCAAATTCTGCTCAAGGCCTCATACAACCTTGGACCGGCCCTGCATGATGAGGTAATCTACTGCACTATGCAGAGATGTGCAACAAACGGGAGATTTAATTCAATGCTGCTAATGTGGCTTTAGTAGCTCTTTCATTTTGTGTCTGTTGAGTTTTTAATAAGCGTCACAGAAACTATTCTGGTTGGTCGAGTTTATGGGACGAGTTTCTCAGATCTCTGCGCAGAGATAACTGTCTGACTAAGTGGATAAAGCATTTGATACGGTCTGATGCATTTTGTAACCGGAAAAATATTACTAAAAATAAAATCAGCGTGATGCGTTACAGACAGGAGAGCACGAAAGCTCCTAGTGCTAGTTCGTTAACTAATACACCGGCCAACCGAGGAACACACAGATAAACTTTATCAGTGCAGGCAGAGCCAGGCACTGGACGTGTTGAGATGGAAAAGCCGCACAAAATTCTTTGTTCACAAATATAAATCATTCTCACCACTCGCTCAACCCACCTCTGAAAGCGCGACTACAAGTTATTCCTGCAGTTCATGTAGAGCTGCGCAAACGGAGCTAACCAGAGTGGTTTAAAGTCCTACTTTGATCAAAAACTCTGGAAAGAATCATAATTCCTCACAGGTGGTTGATGTAAATATCCATACAGGTCAGCCTGTGCCCAGTTTGAGTGAAAGGAGGCGCGCGTGATCCGCACTGAGGTAAACTTAATCCAGCTACTGCAGCGCACAAGGCAACACGCAGAGGCGCCAGCGGTGTGATTGGTCCGGGTTTAAGTGCAGAAACTATAAACCTATCTTCTATAAACATATCTTTTAGGAATAAATCTGCTCCGCCAGTGAAGCGTTCAGAGCAACAGAGACGCTTGCTATCCGGATTTTATTTTTTTTTATTATTATTTTCCAGAAAACGTAAACAAGAAATGGTTAGCTTGGAGTAAAGGATGGCGGGCCGCCAGGCCTATAATACACTGGGGGAAACCCTGACTTACCTTGTATGACACTCAAAAAGCTAGATTGTAGTAACCAGAAGCTTGAAATGTACAATATTTCTATCCAGAAATTTGTCCATGCATATGTAGCCCATAATAAGCCTTTTAAATAAGACTTTCTGAGAAACCTTGATGAGCACCTGTCTCAGACACTAACGGTCTTTTCCTGTTTATTTCTTCATTTTTGCTTCTCCCCATGTTCCTCACATAAGCCACAGGAGCTGACAGATATTTTGGAGATCAGCAACATGGTGTTCACTAGCCTCTTCAGCCTGGAGATGCTTCTTAAGATGCTGGCTCTCGGACTCTTTGGCTACATCAAGAACCCTTACAATAGCTTTGACAGCATCATTGTCATAATCAGGTAGGAGGAAATATTTGGTTGTGCATTGGCAGTGAAATGAAAGGTTTAACATTAAAACTTTGTCATGTTATTGGAAAATCATTTTTATCATAACTTCACAGCTTCACAGCTGCTGGTACAGGGATTCTGACTGAGGTGGCTAAGCCAAATGGCTGAACACATGCTCCAGAGGGCCTGTGTTCAATCCATTATGTAGTACAAGAAGATGAATTATGAATGTGTTTGAAGCCTTTACCTGTTTACTGGGTTTTTTCACGCTGCTGTCATTTTCTTTAAAGAGAAATGACTGAATCAACATTGAAACAATGTTAGGCAGAAACATCGAATCCATATTGAAGCCTGACATTGAAACAATATTGAAAGTGGTCAGTCACGTACATGTTGAATCAATGTTAGGATTTCAACCATAACTGATACATCAATTTTGATTCAACCATCATCTGAATGTGGAGGTATACACATTTGTGTTGATTTTATATTGAATCAAAGTTAAGCAATCAACATTGATTCATGTAGGTCTACATCATAACATACCATTAAAAGTTTCTTCACTGGTGATCTACACAATTTTGGCAGATGATGGGTATTATGTCATTCAAAATGATGTTACATTACATAATATATTTCCAAAAATGTGTGTACACAAACTTAAAAAAATGACATGGCATTGATAATACATTTTATTTAAGAATCAAAAGACTGAATCATTGATTAGCAGGTTTTACAGATTAGTAACAAAATTTACAGGAAGGATTCACAACCCCCTGAACTCAAATGCTTAATTTAAAACATAATTAACCCCCGCTCAATAATTAAATACTCTCACCCAAAGGAGGAGGAGTAGGGCGCAACAAACAGCATAAATTGATTCAACATTGGCTTTTCAATCATTAGAATTCGACCACAAAACAACATTGATTCAATGACATCTATTCAACACTGGTTACTTTGCTAGAATTGGATAATTGTTTGATGGTTGATCCACCATCAATTGTTGACCTCAACCAAAAATCAACCTTTTTGACCATAATTCGCTATCTGTAGATAGCAACTGATAGTAACCATAAATTCAGTTTTTCAGTTATTATATCCATCCATTTTCTTTACACCCTTGTCCCTTGGTGGGATCGGGAGGGGTGCTGGTGCCTATCTCCAGCTAACGTTCCGAGCGAGAGGCGGGGTCACCCTGGACAGGTCGCCAGTCTGTCACAGGGCAACACAGAGACACACAGGACAAACAACCATGCACACACTCACTGTTTTTGGACTGTGGGAGGAAACCGGAGTACCTGGAGAAAACCCATGCATGCACAGGGAGAACATGCAAACTCCATGCAGAAAGACCGGGGCTGGGAATCAAACCCAGAACCTTCTTGCTGCAAGGCAGCAGCTCTACCAACTGCGCCACTGTGCAGCCCCCAGTTATTACATGTCACAGAAAATAATTTACTCTTTTTCCCCTGAATGAAGAGATTGTTTTTTGAATCTGTGTTTGTCAGTGGTAGATATGTATCCTAGTGTGAACTGTGTATTTCAGTGTGTGGGAGATTGTGGGTGAGGCCGAGGGAGGCCTATCAGTGCTGCGTACCTTTCGCCTGCTGAGAGTTTTGAAGCTGGTGCGCTTCCTTCCTGCTCTGAGGAGGCAACTGGTGGTGCTCATGAAGACCATGGACAATGTAGCCACATTCTGCATGCTGTTAATGCTCTTCATCTTCATATTCAGGTATTTGAAAGTCTCTTTTGCTTTATTTATACATATTTAGGCCCGAGCAGCTAAGCGCTGCGAAGGCCTATTGTAATCNATGTATATATATATATATATATATATATATATATATATATATATATATATATATATATATATATATATATATATATATATATACACACACACACACACACACACACACACACACACACACATATATATATATGCCTATAACCGCTTGGATTGATTACAAGAAAGCCTATGACTCAATGCCACACACCTGGATCATTGGTGGTGGATAAAGAACAGAGGAAAGCCGTTGTGGTGGATGTAGCAATACCAAGTGACCACAACATCAGGAAAAAGGAGCATGAGAAACTGGAGAAATGCCAGGGCCTCAGAGAGGAACTGGAGAAGGCCTGGAAGGTGAAGACCACAGTGGTGCCTGTGGTCATCGGGGCCCTCGGGGCAGTCGCCCCCAAACTGGAGCAGTGGCTCAAACAGATCCCAGGAACAACATCAGACATCTCAGTCCAGAAATGTGCAGTTCTAGGCACAGCCAAGATACTGCGCAGAACCCTCAAGCTCCCAGGCCTCTGGTAGAGGACCCGAGCTCAGAGGATGAAAGAGAGACCACCCACAGAGGGTGAGAGAGGCAGTGAGTAATCTCACAGCGCTGAATCAGATCTCACAATGCATTGTGGGAAGAATACATATTTCCTGTGACTATTCATGTTTTGCTTACATAAAATTACTTATCTGAATTTTTGAGTGTAAATTAAAATCTTTACCAAGACATTTTAAATTGTTTTTAGAAATTAACTATTACCAACTTTCTTCATGTTTTTTATTTTGGACCATGAGTAAGAACCACATGTGCGAAGCTTATAGTCGTCGGTCTCGCTTTTCAATGGTGGTCCATATATCATGATATACCTGACAATATTCACAGCTACTGTGTGCTAGAGTTGGGATAAGTATGTCAGACCTGCTTATATCTATTTTTCATGACAAATTTGAAACGCTGGGTTTAAAGGGATGGGCACAGGTAGCAGGCCCCTTAAAATTTCTGCTGGAATTTTCTAGTTTCTTATATATTATTCATATATTTATTTGAATAATAAAATATTTTTTATTTGTTAACTAATAAATTATATATATATTTTATGTATACATATATTTTATTATTTAATATATTGACGTCTGTGTGTGTACATATGTTTATAAATGTTGATTACTGTATATATCAAAACGATTTATCAAAATCAATTGTATTATAGGTTCACATTTATTTTCTTTATTCAGAAATTACAATTAAAATATAATGAAAAGTCATAAATGTTGTCTTTGGTGATTGTTTAATTTCCAAATATATTCACGTTTATATGTGAGTGGGTCGATGACGAACATTAGCTAAAAATACATTGTGGAATGGCATTTTCTGAAGTTCGGTCCATTCATTTGTATTAGCTTACTGGCAGAGATGCCACATTCCATATGGCGGACGCGATTACGTATCGCTGCAACGCGCCGACCCGCTCCATGAGGCGTCTACGTATTAATGTCTATGCTTAGCCTCTACCTTGTCGTTATGTTGCTTAGCAACCGTGACAACGTGAATCACAGAGCGGCAAAGGAAAAAAAAATCGGACTCGAAGTAAGTTTTTTTTTTTTCTCCTGATTTCTCTATTACTCTTCACCTTTTGTAATAAAGGCTGTTGCATATTTAAAAAATCTGTTAGTCTGATTCTAAAATGTTCAAACACGTATAGCACATTTACATAAGGAATGTAAGCAAAGTATCCCTTTTCAAATACTCTCCAAATCTCAGGTAAAACAATAGAGTTTAATCAAACTATTATGTTTGAAGGCTTAACTTTAAATCAGTCAAACTGATTTGCTCAGGAATAAATGAAATATTTTAGTGAACCAAAATATTACAACTAGATGTTTCCTGACTTAATATCTGTGTTTAATTGTCATTTGGGAAAGCCCAAATGAGTCAGGTGTTCTCCCGTGGTATACTAAACCTGGACCAGCAGGCAGCAGGCGAGGGGAGCTGGGTGTTAATGCAGCGGGAGCAGACATTTCCGAAAACGTCGGAGCAATATTGCAATTAGGTGATGCACTGATGAACCGAGCAGAAATTTGAGATTTATACAGCTACATTCTCGCCTACAAACATTGTATAAATCATGTTGTGTCATGGCTGCTAAGCAACATAACGCTGAGGTGGAGGCTAGGCAGCGAGCTGAAGGCTACAGCTTCTCTCTGCAATGCTCTCTGCCTTCACCGGACCCCTCTTCCGTAGACCGGGTTGTTTCTCAAGCCCAGGACAGAATAAGCTTGAAAGGGTGCAGACCCTGAACTCAGACACAAAGCTCTAGTGGTCTGGCAGCTATAGACGCCAGTAGTTTATCGTTCTTTCACAGTATCTATACCGTACTTGCATTGATTTCATTGGATTTCACAGTATCAATACCGTACTACAATTGATCCACTGTCAGGATTAATTGCAGTACAGCTGCTGTGCATTTACAGTAAACTTCTGGCGTCTATAGCTGCCAGTATTTGACTGTAAATTTAATTTGACGTTTCTTTCTAAACGTTGTAAGTAGGTCTCTGCATTAAAATAAAATGCTTAGATTACAGGCAGTATCAAAACTTAAATGCAACAATTAGGCCTGTCACAATAAACCATAAATCAATTAATTACACATAAATGAAAATTATCAATCTCGTTTTAATTTATAGGCTTTATCATTTCTTCCTGCCTTTTTCCCTTTCTATTGATGACACTGGATGAAAAAGGGCTCAACTCCGGTACTGTCCACTGACCCCTCCCTTCTTCATTTCCTTAGCGTAAGAGAGGAGTGAACTATTGCATCTGATATGCCCTTCTTCTCTGTCTAAATCTAATGATTATTGAAGGGCAATATAGTAAACAGACTTCATAATCTGTACTCTTTTGGTTGAATGTAGTTTTTATTTCCACTTTAGTTTTATGTTGTGTTTACTCTATTTTCCAGACTATAAGCTGCTACTTTTTCCCTGAACTTTGACCCATGCAGCTTATAGCCTGATGCGGCTTATATGTGGATTTTCTTCAACCACCAGGGGGCTCTTTAGCAGGAAGTGAATCATTGGAAGTCAAAATTGTTAGTCAGTTTCAGCATACATAAATTAAAAGATTTTAAATTGTTTAACATTTAAATGTAACATTTTAAGGAACTGGCAAGTTTACTTTGTAAAAGTTTAAGGAACAATATTCATAGTTAGACTGTTTTGTTACCCTAGCTACAATCTGATGCTGTGAATTTAATCTTTAAGTTTGAGCTCTGTTTGTTCACAAATACAATTTAGTAAACTGCAATTATAACTGACTGCTTTTTAGGTTGGCCAATTAAACTACTCCCCCTCTCTCAGATTAAATCCAACACATCTGTTAGAGGTGCTGATGTTTTTAGCAACAAAAGGGGCCCCTAAATCAAATCCTGCTCCAGGCCTCATACAGCCTTGGATCGGCCCTGCATGATGAGGTAATCTGCTGCACTATGCAGAGATGTGCAACAAACGGGAGATTTAATTCAATGCTGCTAATGTGGCTTTAGTAGCTCTTTCATTTTGTATGTTGAGTTGTAATATGCGTCACAGACACTATTCTGGTTGGTCGAGTTTATGGGGCGAGTCTCTCAGATCTCCACGCGGCCGCGCACATTAATTCTGTCTGAAAAAAAAACGTTTTTTTTTTGTTTTGTTTTTTTCATTTTTTTTATTATCATTATTTTCCTAAAAACATAAACAAGAAAGGCTTAGCCTCGTGGTGGCACTAGTAAAGGATGGCGGGCCACCAAGCCTATAATACACTGGGGGAAACCCTGACAGTCTCACTTCATACCACTTTTTATCTCTTTATGACCAAAAACTATAGTGTGTTTTTTTGGAATGTTATATGAGAGACCAACGCAAAGTACTGCCTCGTTGCGTGAAAGTGAAATAATATAACAGTTTGTGAACTGCAAAAGCAAAAGGTGTAGCATGCACTTGTACTAGACGAGATTAGAGTCGGCACAATGTAGATTCACATTCCACTGCTACCACAGCTACAGGTCTTTTTGATTATATTCTTAACAGCTTTGCACACCTTGAAACTGAGATTTCTTTCCTGTTTGGAAAATAACTCAAGCCCAGTCAGAGTAAGTGGAAAGCAAATGTGAAAATCTAATTTCTGTTCTTGCCACAGATTCTAAATTGGATGTAGATTTTAATCAGGTAATTTTAATACTTGAACATTCTTCTATCTAAGCCAGTGTTTCTCAACCCTGGTCCTCACTGCCCCCAGGTCTGCATGTTTTAGATGTGCCTGTATTCCAGAACACCTGATTCAAATGATTGCGTGACCGTCAATTACTGCAGAAGCCTGTTAATCACCCAAAGATACAATTCAGGTGTGTGGCAGAACGGAAATACCGAAAACATGCAGGACAGGGGGGCGGTGAGGACCAGGGTTGAGAAATGCTGATCTAAGCCATTGTACTGTATCTCCAGTTGTATGTTTTCATTAGTTCTCCTGCTTTGCAAGTCTGGACATCTTCTACTGCGTCCAACAGGTTTTCTTCCAGGATTGTTCTGTATTTAGCTCCTTCCATCTGCCTGTCAACTCTGACCATCACCTCTTTATTTCATTATAGGGGATGATGTGCTAGTTTTCCATCGCACCAATGTCACCAAAAGGTAGATTTTGGATTAATCCGTTTGAGTATCTTCTTCTTTGTCTCTCCATGGACTGTGTCAAACTGCCTACTGGACTTTTTATGGCTTTTATTTTTAAAATGGCATTCTTAATGCCATTGTTTCATCTGTTTTGTAGAGTACATGACTAATAGTTGTGGACAAATACCACAACTATTTTCTCTCTTTATTTACTGTCTCTGGGTTCTATCCTCAGGAAACATGGGATTTCATTTCATTGTTATGTTGACGATTGCCAGATTTATTTGCCCCTTAAGCAGAAGGATATCCATTCCATCAAACATCTCCTGGCATGTCTAGGTG